CCCCAAGGGCAACGCCTTGGACTACTTTATACAATCTAAAATCCTAACTACCTAACTCTCTACCTCATCGACTATGACTCCTATGAGCCAGCCGACGACCCACTAATTCCCTACCCGTCCACTCGTCTGCTCGCCTACGCAGTCCGAGCCGCCTCAACACCTCGGTGACCTCTGCCTCAAGGTTCGCAACAGCGTCCCTCGACCTGGACAGAATCGATTCCAACCGCTTCGCCACTCGCCGCCGACTTCGCCCGTTGCCAGCCATCAAAGCTGTTGCACGCATCTCGAGTTCACACAACGTCATCCTCTCCTGCGCCGCGATCTCCCAGCGAGCATAACCCCTCAAACAACGGTCAACCCGCAAAACTAATTCCTCCCGCGTGCGATCAGTCGTGCGCCGGTTGTGATCTTCCATCTCGGCCAACTGTTCTTCCGCCGCCGCCCGCTGCGCCCTCAATTCGTCAAACTGCGACTGTAGTCGACGTAGCAACTCCTCGTCTGCCCTTTTCGCGGCCTCGCTTTGCTCTAACGCCTGCGTCTTCCGCACGAGCTCATCCGCCAGATTGCGAATTTGAATCTGCTCCACACTAGAGTCCGTCTGGACTCATTAATTTTGCGTCGCGCATTGGTTACCATATCATCTCGCAGCTTAAGCGCCGCCTTCTACAGTTTCCAGGCTAAGGCCCATTGATTGTGCACAAAGTTGTAGCGCTCCTCCAACTGCCGATACTTCTGATCCAAGACAATCGATTCGGGATTCGTCGCCACCTTGATCCGCGTTCGATTTCTGACCAGCTCAACATAGGATCCACACTGGTGGGGATCCCCATACTTGGCCACTTTGCGATCAAGGTACCAAAGTAGCGGTACCACTTGCTCGCAAAGCACTCCGGTCGGTGTGCCTTGCACCGACTGCACTTCCTCCTCCTCCGAAGGTGTGTCGTCCTTTGTCTCTAGGATTTCTGTTGTTGCTGAAATCCTTGGCGATTCTCTAGCACTGGGCCTCGCAGACTACTCTGCTGCGGCCTCCACTCCATGCCCTGCTAGTACTTCCAACGGGGTGGGAGAACCTGCCCCAGGCAGACCTACTACATCTTCCCAATCTGGTTCCGCCGAAGGCGCTTCCGCCGAAGGCACACGTGTCTTTGCATCCCTGCCTTCGCCCGTAGGAATGCTCTCTAGGGGTCTCAACGCCGAAGGCACCACCCTGAACTGCTCTTGCGCCGAAGGCCCTTGCTCCGAAGGCATGTCGTCAAACGGTACTTGCTCTGAAGGCAAGCAACTCTCATGCGCAGGCATTCTTACCGTTGCCGCACGCCTTCCTCTGTGGCCCGAAGGCCTAAGTGCTTCCTCCAAAGGCATCTGTGCCTTCGGCGCGAAGAGTTCAGTTGACCTCCCAAGAACCTCTGTACTCACATCCTCCTCCTCGGAGGAAGGTGAGTCCCTCGCAATTGCAGCTCGCCACGTGTCCGCGCTGTTGCCCGCTGTCAAAATCAGCTTGCGAGCCTTCTGCTTTGGTCGGGCTTGCTCGTTGATTGCCCGATGCCTTACTAGAACAGCGAGCAATTCTCGCCGACTCAGTTCTTACTCTCCATCAAATTTTCGCTTCCGGAGTGCCCGCGCTCCCCGTGGTTCTTCCTCTGCTCTCAGTTGGGCTGGTGGTGTGATGGCGGGCACTTCGTCAGGCTCCGTATCAACCTCGACATCCTTCACAAGCCTCCCCGGATTCGTCAGCGACAGCAAGGGAAATTGTATCTTCTCTTCCGTTGTTAGACACCCCATCGACTGATAAAAATTTATCAAGAACGTGGAAAGGTGATTAATCGACACTCCCCTCTCCTCTCTTGCATGCTAGCGCGTGGCCTTCTACAAAATGCGAAACCAATGAATTGGGGTACCCGCCAGCGCCAGCTCCACAAATCCCACTTGCCAAGATGACATGTAGGAAACCCTGTGCGGCTGCAAAATCTGGAGGATTGCTACCGCGACATTCCTCCGCTTCCGATCAACATAGTCACGGGTCTTGTACCTGTTCTTGCCCGATTTGCGATTCTTGAAAAGAACGCCGAAGGTAACCTCCTCTTTTTTCGAGAGATGCACACTCTCGTTGTGAAACAGGAGGTCACCTTCCTCTCCCGCACATCTGCCCAAGACCTGCTCCTAGTCACTCACTCGCCATCTCTCCAGGTGCGGGCAATAAACTCTCTTACGCTGGTACTTCTCGCGCAGCCACTTCCGAACCATCGCCGAGCACACCCAATTCCATCCCCACAAAAGGAAATCGAACTTCACCGCTGTCAATTCATCTTGGAATGCTCGCAATCCGATTTGCGGCACCCGCAGTGGTACCATCCTCAATGGCACGGACTTGGCCATCGAATTCTTGACAATTGATGCGCGCTCTTGCTTCTACTACGCGTCAAGAGTTCGGGTAAGCGCGAAATCGATAATGCATGAATGAGCTCCCTCTCTGCCCATCAAGAATTGTCAAGCTTGCCATTTTGACTTAGCAACGGGCCACTTGAATGCTGTTCTGGCGATGAGGTGTAACGGTCCGCTTCACACGCGCGAATTCACGCTTTGTCTTGGCGCGGACTCTCACACTTGTACATTTGACATAATCACGCCGATTTCCGCCGGAGTAAATCTTCTTCCGCGTACCGCCGAAGGCGCTAGTGGCGAAGACACTCTCTTCCGCCGTTTTCCTTTCCTTCCCTTCTTCCGCCGAAGGTGCTTCCGCCGAAGGCAAATCCTAGCGACGAAGGTACTAGTCTTCAGCGGAAGGCGCTTGTGAAACAGGCCCGGCATCATAGGGTTTAGGGTCCCGCCACCACCCGCTCCGCCCAAGGCACCTGACTGCCTTCGGAGGAAGACCTTCCTCCCTTTCATCGTTGTTACTTTCTTTACTTTCTTTTTACGTACCGATTCTTATCTACAGTTACTACCGCGGTACTTACTATTCAAAAATGCTTTATTTCAGAAGAAAACAAAAAACTGCGCCACCACAGTCTTGATGGCAAGTACAGTGCGGAGACGGAGAAGTTGATCTCGACTGATTCAAGCTATAACTGAAAGATGGAGATCATTATTCGGATGATGGAGAAATGATGATGAGAGTAAAACTCATTGTGTGTTTAGGGGAGGAAAGAGCTATGGCTATATTGGATGAGTAAATTACTTTTGTGTTTCCTTTGATGAAATACTCAAGAACTAAGTTAATGTTATGTGTGTTGTATTAGGAAGTACCAGATAAATTTCCAATAGAAAAAACAAATAGTTCAAAATGTAGAAACTTGTGATGTTGTATAGAAGTAAAAATGAGGATTTAGAAGTTTTTGTTAGACTTCAAGCGTGCTTGCATAGGAAACAATGAGAGTAAGAAGAGCAAGTGTGCTATGCTTTTGTTGATTTTTTTGGAGTATTCTGTTCTCAAGTGGTACAAATAGTACAAGAGTAAGCATTTGGAGAATGACACTTGGAAGAAGTTAATGGAAAACCTGATCTTAAATTTCCTTCCCAATAAAAGATATGAAAAGTTGATGTGTGAAATCAATTTTTTGAAACAAAGAGAGAATGAGAAGGTGATGACCTATGTGGAGAGAACTGAGAAATTGAAGTCTAGATTCCACGTGGTGTTGAGGAAAGGTGGAGATAAAGTGGATACTACAATGATGAGGATAAGGACAATGCTTATGAAGAAGTTCGTTGTAGTTTTTAGACCTGAGATTCGAAGTAAGATGAGATATGAAAAGATTTCTTCTAAAGCTAAGCCATTCGAATTGTTATTAAATTGGAGTAAAGCTTAGAAAATGATGATTCTAGCTTGGTGACTAGAGAAATAACTCCACCGGTTGTAGTAAGATACATTGGTTCAAATTTGCTAGTTTATACACGATAGCGAATCTTGATATAGATTTGCAAAATGAGTTGAAATCTATCACGGAGCTTCTAGCAGAACTCAAATATCAATGTAGTACAGTTGTGGATGAAGAATAATCATAATGTAGGAGTAAACTCTAGAGGATATGGAAATTATACTTCAAGAGAAAATACATCTCCATGGAACTTTGAGGTTTCTTGTTTTACTTCTGGCAATACTCATTTTCATAAAAATTGTTCAAACCCCGACAACATGATGGAGTTCAGAACAACAACAATGCATTGGCCACACAATAAGCCAAAGAGAAAGTAGTAACATACATTGATATATTCACTCATCAATGCACTTTTGAGAAAATAGATAACTCAAAGTGGATCCTTGCACATGAAAAAAAAACATGCTAGATTTGCAGATGAGTCAATTTTCATGAAAAACATGTCAAGTCGAAGTACACGGTCAAGTGAGATGAATCAACCAAAAGTATGAAGGTTGAAGTTGGGCATGAATGACTTTTCGATTTCATCTTCTCAAGCTAAATATGACGTGATGGAAGATGTAAGAAGTCAGAAGGCCAATATAACAATTGGCTAACTCATTGCTTTAAATCCAGCCATACATAAGAAGTTGAGAATATACCTTAGCTCCACAAGGACCAAGAACCGAAGATCGAGATAAAATTCTCACATGATTAATGTGGGAGTTTGTGTTATGGATGTTACTGCCTAGGAATTATGTACACATGCTTCAAAGCTCGTAGTGAGTATCGATAAACACGATGTATTATACATGTTAGTAGATTGTGAATCTGCGATAAATGTAATGTTTGAAATATTGTTGTCAAAGTTGGGGATGTGATGCCTCTTTGGCCGTCTCCTTGAGATTGTGCTTGTTCTGTTCGACTCGTTCGGCTCCTTGAAGATATCTTCAAGGAGCCGAACGAGTGCGGAGGGCGCGATAATGTCACGTTCGCTCACATAGCCATCCACTTTGATGTCATCTCAAATACCTTAGCTGGTTGATTTTCATCACAAGCGTTCACTCGATGTAATTTGTGCACATTAGTGTGAGATAGACGATGATGCTACCTCATTCTTTCATGACTTGTGGACTTCGTTACCATACCTTCTCATATTGAACCGTAGGAGTCATCGCCTGATCTTCACGGCTGGCTGTGGTGTCCAAAGATGACGCTCAAATACCAGTTGGCGACAAAAGCATTGAGAATAGACAATACTCGACATTGACTTTTTTTCATGTGCATGACGAGCTAGAGTCGACCGTGTCATCTCTAGCTGTGAATGGAACTGAGGGTTTATCTTATGTAACAACTCTGTTATACTCCTCACCTATATATCCTCATCTCACCTATACACTTTATTGATCTTCGTCATGACCATGTACGAGGCAGAAGCTTCGAGTGGTGTACGAATCTCTACCACCGTGAATGTAATCTCCTCACTTCGACCCGATTAGACGCCGAGTCCATGCCAGTCTGCGCATGAGGCGTAAATGATATCTGATTCTAGGCGGAAAGCGAAGAGAACTCCCAAAAGTATTATCAGCTATCGATAATCTTGCGCTTTCCTTTCGCCACAATTTTACGAGTGGTCTCCTACACAGATTTTGAAGTAGACCAGGGCTCTTCCAGTTCCTTCTCACGGCAAGACCACATAAGGTACTCTCTAAGTGAGGACATGACAATTTGCTTTCCCATTGCCTTAATATCATCTCCCGGCAAGCTCCCATAAACACGTTCATAATCTAGGTCCAGCCGTAACATGATCTGGAACATTCGCAGAACAGTTGCAGGATTGGCCGGAATAAAGTTTCTATAGGATTTCATGACACTAACAGACATGCGGTCAGCTCCAACCTGCAACGAGACCAGCAAGTATTGCAACCGACGGGAACATTAATGCTCTGCTCGATCTGACGCTTTGAAACTTGACCACAATCATCCGAAGATGGTAAGTTGAGTTGAGACATGGATTTGTTCTTGACCTACCTTCAGGGTATTGCTTGACAGGATGAAACCACCATACCCTTTCCTGTGTAGTATGCAGCTTCCGTCGTAATGACCACCCAGATTGATCACGCTTATGTCATCCCATAATTCATAAGTTTCGCCCCTCCAAAATATTATGTGAGAGTCTATGTAGCTTAAGGGCAAGGTCATATATGCGCTGTCGCTATGATTCCAAACAGGTAGAAACTGCACATATTAGGATAAGATGCATCGAATGCTACAGGACGCTAGAACCTGAAATTGAACCGCTAAAACATTTATAAAGCCGGAAACCTTTTCAAAATAATATATTTTCCAGTGTGAATAAATCATTGGGAAGTATAGGCAAACTTCACTCTGAAGAAGGCCCCCAGGATAACGCACAACTCGTACAGATTCTGAATCTGTCATCCACCTTTCGTACTGTGTGACTACTCTCTATTCGAATGATTCTCCGACCGAGTGATTCGGAAACTAATTTACTTTAAATGGTGATGCTCAGAGCCCACAGAAAAAAAAAAATTAAAAAAATCTATTACATTTTTCTATCATTTTCTATTTTTCTATTACAACCGTTTTCACGATAGACATCAATTGCTTCCTTCACCTCAAAAGAAATCGCAATATCAAAATTATACAACGAGACAAGGTCCAGAGACCAGAAACTACATACACAGCAACTCAGTACCGTGAATGAATGTAGACTGGACAGTTGTTGAATGCAGAGCTCCAAATAGTAAACGTGGCCATGTGTTCAGGATTCGAGATTACAATCGCTTTTACGCCTCCGATTTTGTTGATATAATTCACCGTGACCATGTCCACGGGACATATGCAGTCCCACAACACATTTCCACCTGCGCAATTCATGATTCAAACAAGTGCCTACGAGTGAATTGAAAATCCACCACGAGGCTGCAGTCGAGGTCCCTCTAGAAACCTGGTCTGGACTATCTACAGAACCTAAAGACTCCATCGACAATTAATTGTCGATTGTCGATTGATCGATTGGAAGGACCTGGAAGGAGATGCATACTCTTTGATTTAATTAGAAACGACCGCTGGCCTAGAAAGATAGTCGGAGATGTTTGTATTTCTAAAAGATTGGGCTCCAGGAAGTCCCACCGATGCACAGGGTTCAGATTCTCCAGCACGTCTTGATGCGAGATCCACATCTGGTCGACTCTGGATGCAGCTCCAAACAACGAAATCAAGTCAGTTTGTTGGACCTGCGGAGCCCATCTTCTCCATCTCCAGAGAAAAGCTCGTGAGTGCATGCAACCGACTGCTTCACAGCGTGGTCGGCAACACCCGTCGAGCATGAGCAGCATGAGCGGGAATTGTCATCAGTCTTGCACGCAGACATGAAGGTAGCTAGACATGAGGACTAAATTTCATGGCTGGAGAATAGAGAATCGGGTGCTTGTGCACGCAGTGAAGAGAACTTACTTCCGGAAGGCGTTTCGAGTGACATCGTAACAGATGCAGCAGAGAGAGTCGTGTCGATTTGCAGTATGTTGAACACCGCAGGTGGAGCATATCGTGGCTTTCGAGAGCAGGAGATCCAGCAACTTCTTGAGCTCGTCTCGCTGCTCGTGCTGATTTCTGGGTTTCGAGCTCGAAGGTCTGTCTTCGGCGAGGCCAGGCGGCTCAAAGACATCCACAGCGCTCGGCTCGATCTCGATCATGGTGGGTTCAAATTGCTCAATTGCTGGGAACTCCTCGGCTGCGGGAATCTCAAATCTGCTCAGGATACTGTCTACAAACATCGGCCGCTTCAGCGGACGCAGCAGTCGCTGCGTCCGCCGCAGCAGCAGTCGCTGCTGCCAGAAACGCATCGCTGTTCAGAAACACATTGGACATGAAAACGTCGAGCAGAGGAGGCTCTCGGATGTCGCGCGATTTGCTTTCACGATGATCCTCCTCACTCGCCATCATGGTCGCCTTCCCTCGCTTGCCTGGCCCGCAGTCCGAAGAATCTCGACCGAAGAAGAGGCCCACGAGAAAATTCTGTTCGAAAATTCACGGTGAAAATTCTGGCGTCTCGTGCACCCGATGAAAATCTCCTGCGCGCTCGCGATCGACAGTAGCAGCTCTCGTCATAAGGCTTGCAATTGCGGGCTATCGATCGGAGAGCGGTGCGCGGCTCCCACACGTCGGCCTGAAATCATGCCGAGGCGATGGCGAGTCGGTCCTTCTTTTTATAGGCCCCTCGAACGAAGGAAGGATTTGCGAGGCTCGGCCATGAAGCTCTCACGGTCGGCGGCGGGTGCTGCTTGCAATAGCAATCTCGAAGCTGATTATTGCACCTCACTGAGTCTTTAATCTGGCCTTCTAAACCGATTCCTCGCATCACACGTTCCTATTTCTGGCTGATTTCGGACGCTCGGCCCCTCCACTGTCCATTCCATCTGATTCAAACGAGCCGGCTTCGAGCATTTAAGCATTTGCTCGTTCTGTCTCTCTGCATTCGAAGACTGTCAACGGAGCTCCGAAGCACAACTGCATTCGAATTTCGAATTCAGGACCTCGGAACCGTTGTCGTGCCAAAGTTGAATTTCGAATTCAGGACCTCGAACCGTTGTCGTGCCAAAATGCGTGCGAGCGAAGTTCGGACGGGAATAAATGGCATTCGGATAAATTGAGCTGGAGGACGAGGTCGGACGGGGAAATTTGAGAATTGGGGAAATTGAAGAAGAAGAGTTCGGACGGGAAGAAATGGCATTCCGAGATATTGAGGAGGAGAAGCCATTTATGGGAAGTGAAGGAAGTTGGTTTAAGATGGTCACGGCTGGACCGAGTGGAAGGGCTGCTCGATCAGCTGCCTGGCTCCTTAAATCAACTGTGTTCTTCTGCAGTTTCCTTGCCTGGCAGTTCTTCTTCTGCGAGTTTTTGTGCTGACCAGTTGGCTCCTTATATCAACCGTGTTATGCTGCAGTTTCATTGCAGCAGAACATTCAAAACAGCAGTTTCATTCATTCATTTGTCTTCTGTGAGTTTGTGTGCTGAGAGGATTGCTTGCATAACCCGATGGGCACTCGAAGGTCGAATTCGTCTCCACGCCTCACAAAATCATCCTACAGTGTCGTACATACTAATATGGATGTTTGAGCTCGCTGGTCCCAGCTGCTGTGGAGTTTCTCAGATCACACGTGCCACATGCTCCTTCCTGCTCATGGCTTCCATCTGACACCAGGTCTGATTATGTGCAGGGGGAGAGACATGAGAGTGCTTTGACACGGGAAACTCGTCCCATCCTGAACCCTAGAGAACAAATCGTTACTGATCCTGTCTTCGATTACGTCCTGCTCATGACCATCCTGGCAGAATTCAGATCTCGTGATGTTTTGATTTTCGTTTTGTGTAATATGATTTTGTCTTTGTCATCTGTAATTTCTGGTGGCGAGTGAGTGTCATGTTCGACTTGTTGAAACCTCTAAAATTTTTGATCATGAGAACAGTTCTCTTGTTATTGATCAATATGCCTCAGGCCCGTGCCTCATATAGTCATATACACATATGACTATATGTGTATATTTACCCTGTATTGTATTTAGATTACATACTTAACATACATGATAGTAATATGGTACTCTCAAAGCAAAGTGCACTAACCAGAGTATTGGATAACATACAATTTGATAAATCTCTTGTTACAAATAAAATGTCACTTACAAACAAAATAATATATTTTTGTAAGAATTATCTTCAGTGGATGCACAATACACGGTAAATATACACATATAGTCATAGCCTGAGGCATATCCATCTAGAATAAGAGTACTGCTTTCATACTCTAAAACTTTAGAGTCTTCAACAAGTCTAACTAGACACTCACGAAATTCCATAAAACAAAGACGAAATTATATTACTGAAAACAAAAATCAAAACATCAGGAGATCCTAATTTCGCCACCATAGCTCGCGGCGGTCATGAGCGCGACGTTATCGAAGACAGTACCGATACGGATTTGTTCTCTAGGGTTCAGGTTGGGACGAGGTTTCCGTGTCAAAGCATTATCATGTCTCTCCCCCTTCACATAATCAGACCTGGACATGGTGTCCTAGCCATGAGCAGCAGTCTGAGAAACTCCACAGCAGCAGGGAACAGTGACCTCAGTCATTCATCTTCGTCTGTACGACACTGTCGGATGATACCTCGTTGCTTGGAGACGAATTTGACCTTGGAGTGCCCATCGGGTAACGCAATCAATCTTGTCCATCTCCTCCTGGTCAGCACACAAACTCACAAAAGACGAATGAATGAAACTGCTGATCTGAATGTTCTGGTGCAATGAAACTGCAGCAGAACACCATTTGATTTCGGGATCCAGGAATCATCAGGCAGCTGATCGAGCAGCCCTTCCACTCGTGCGCGATTCTCAAAGTTACTGCCGTGACCATCTTAAACTAACTTGTTTCCCTTTCCACAAATGGCTCCTCCTCCTCCTCTATATCTCCAAATGCAATTTCTTCCCGTCCTAACTCCTCCGCCTCTTCAATTTCCCCCATTCCCAATTTTTCCCGTCCGAGCTCGTCCTCCAGCTCAATTTCTCCGAATGCAATTTCTTCCCGTCCGACCTTCATCGCTGGCTCGCTAGCTCGCACTTCGGCACGAAAACGGTTCCGAGGTACTGAATTCGAAATTCGACTGCAGTTGTGCTTCGGAGCTCCGTTGACAGTCTTCGAATGCAGAGAGACAGAACGAGCAAATGCTTAAAGCCGGCTCGTTTGAATCAGATGGACAGGACAGTGGAGGGGCCGAGCGTCCTGAATCAGCCAGAAATAGTAACGTGTGATGCGAGGAATCGGTTTCGAAGGCCAGATTAGAGACTCAGTGCGGTGCAATCAGCTTCGAGAGTGCTATTGCAACCAGCACCCGCCGCCGACCGTGAGAGCTTCATGGCCGAGACTCGCAAATCCTTCGTTCGAGGGGCCTATAAAAAGAAAGACCGACTCGCCATCGCCTCGGCATGATTTCAGGCCGACGTGTGGGAGCCGCGCACCGCTCTCCGATCGATAGCCCGGAATTGCAAGCCTTATGACGAGAGCTGCTACTGTCGATCGCGAGCGCGCAGGAGATTTTCATCGGGTGCACGAGACGCCAGAATTTTCACCGTGAATTTTCGAACAGAATTTTCTCGTGGGCCTCTTCTTCGGTCGAGATTCTTCGGACTGCGGGCCAGGCAAGCGAGGGAAGGCGACCATGATGGCGAGTGAGGAAGATCATCGTGAAAGCAAATCGCGCGACATCCGAGAGCCTCCTCTGCTCGACGTTTTCATGTCCAATGTGTTTCTGAACAGCGATGCGTTTCTGGCAGCAGCGACTGCTGCGTCCGCCGAAGCGGCCGATGCTGTGCTGGTAGACAGTATCCTGAGCAGATTTGAGATTCCCGCAGCCGAGGAGTTCCCAGCAATTGAGCAATTTGAACCCACCATGATCGAACCGAGCGCTGTGGATGTCTTTGAGCCGCCTTGCCTCGCCGAAGACAGACCTTCGAGCTCGAAACCCAGAACTCAGCACGAGCAGCGAGACGAGCTCAAGAAGTTGCTGGATCTCCTGCTCTCGAAAGCCACGATATGCTCCACCTGCGGTGTTCAACAGACTGCAAATCGACACGACTCTCTCTGCTGCATCTGTTACGATGTCACTCGAAACGCCTTCCGGAAGTAAGCTCTCTTCACTGCGTGCACAAGCACCCGATTCTCTCTTCTACAGCCATGATATTTAGTCCTCATGTCTAGCTACCTTCATGTCTGCTTGCAAGACTGATGACAATTCCCGCTCATGCTGCTCATGCTCGACGGGTGTTGCCGACCACGCTGTGAAGCAGTCGGTTGCATGCACTCACGAGCTTTTCCCCGTAGATTGAGAAGATGGGCTCCGCAGGTCCAACAAACTGACATGATTTCGTTGTTTGATGCATTTGGAGCTGCTTCCAGAGGCGACCAGCTGTGGATCTCGCATCAAGACGTGCTGGAGAATCTGAACCCTGTGAATCGGTGGAACTTCCTGGAGCCCAATCTTTTAGAAATACAAACATCGCCGACTATCTTTCTAGGCCAGCGGTCGTTTCTAATTAAATCAAAGAGTATGCACCTCCTTCCAGGTCCTTCCAATCGATCAATCGACAATCGACAATTAGTTGTTAATGGAGTCTTTCGGTTCTGTAGATAGTCCAGACCAGGTTTCTAGAGGGATCTTGACTGCAGCCTCGTGGTGGATTTTCAATTCACTCGTAGGCACTTGTTTGACTCATGAATTGCGCAGGTGGAAACGTGTTGTGGGACTGCATATGTCCCGTGGACATGGACACGGTGAATTATATCAACAAAATCGGAGGCGTAAAAGCGATTGTAATCTCGAATCCTGAACACATGGCCACGTTTACTATTTGGAGCTCTGCATTCAACAACTGTCCAGTCTACATTCATTCAAGGTACTGAGTTGCTGTGTATGCAGTTTCTGGTCTCTGGACCTTGTCTCGTTGTATAATTTTGATATTGCACTTTCTTTTGAGGTGAAGGAAGCAATTAATGTCTAACGTGAAAACGGATGTAATAGAAAAATAGAATAGATTTTTTAAAAAAAAAATTTCCTATGGGCTCTGAGCATCACCATTTAAAGTAAATTAGTTCCCGAATCACTCGGTCGGAGAATCATTCGAATAGAGAGTAGTCACACAGTAGAAAAGGTGGATGACAGATTCAGAATCATCCAGAATCCTGTACGAGTTGTGATTTATCATGGGGGCCTTCTTCACATTGAAGTTTGCCTTTACTTCCCAATGATTTATTCACACTGGAAAATATATTCTTTTCAAAAGTTTCCCGGCTTTATAAATGTTTTAGCGGTTCAATTTCAGGTTCTAGCGTCCTGTAGCATTCGATGCATCTTATCCTAATATGTGCAGTTTTTACCTGTTTGGAATTATAGCGACAGCGCATATATGACCTTGCCCTTAGGCTACATAGACTCGCACATAATATTTTGGAGGGGCGAAACTTATGAATTATGGGATGACATAAGCGTGATCAATCTGGGCGGTCATTACGACGGAAGCTGCATCCTACACAGGAAAGGGTATGGTGGTTTCATCCTGTCAAGCAATACCCTGAAGGTAGGTCCAGAACAAATCCATGTCTCAACTTAACTTACCATCCTCGGCTGATTGTGGTCAAGTTTCAAAAAGTCAGATCGAGCAGAGTATTAATGTTCCCGTCGGTTGCAATACTTGCTGGTCTCGTTGCAGGTTGGAGCTGACCGCATGTCTGTTAGTGTCATGAAATCCTATAGAAACTTTATTCCGGCCAATCCTGGAACTGTTCTGCGAATGTTCCAGATCATGGAACGGCTGGACCTAGATTATGAACGTGTTTATGGGAGCTTG